CTTGGACAGGACGGCTCCAGCGGCCAAGTCTCGATCACTTCGATTTCCGAATCATTCATGTATGCATCATAGAACGTTTTTCAATTAAATCGATAATTAAGGTCGGTCGCGGTGAAGTCGGAGTTGCTGAATTGAGAACATCAGATAAGGATGACTGCTGCGGAGATGTTTCCTCAGGGATGTGTGCCAAAGTTTGTGTAGTGACCGAACTATAGTCACTGATTTTTGCCAGTGTATCTTTTTTATTAATGTAACAACTCTTTTCAATTAAATCGATAGATCGAAGCAAAAAGCAGAATAAATACATGGAAAGCAAAAACACATACAAATATTTTAGATATAACCAAGCTAACAAGTCGAGCCGTATAGTGCACCCGCAAAAAAGTATAGTGGACAGTACATTTCCTATTTGACGCACATTGCGTCAAAGCGCCGGCCTTTCGCACAAAGGAGCAAAGCGAGCGCTCGGTTGGGCTAGCTATTTACCTATATAGGGATTCAATTATCAATATATCAAGGTAAAAAGCAGCATAAATAAATGGAACACAGTTGAGCAAAGAAAAAACACATACAATTATTTTAGATATAATCAAGATAACAAGTTGAGCCGTAGAGAGTGCTCCAGTTTGACGCACATTAAGTCAAAACTGTAGGCCATTTGCATACAGGAGTGAAGCGAGCGGTCAGGTGGGCTAGCCTATTTAGGCATTGTTTGTTTGGGTTTTTACTTATGCTTTTGCAGCGTTTTCACTTTGACAGAAAAGCCAAAAAAGCTTCTAAATATGTGCTTAGCAATATTGATTCATAAGCCAAAAGCCGAAGCAAAAGGCTCCTATTTAGGAGCTTTTGTGGTTTTTTCATCAAAGTGAAAAAGCAGCAAAAGCAGAAGTATAAGCTCAAACAAACATGGCCTTAGTCATAGAGGGATTCTGGTTTTTCCAACATTTCTGGTACAACTTTTTTTTACTGATTTTGGAACCATCTAGAAAGTTTTGGTTCAGTTTTTCCTTTTTTTTTTGTTTCTGCCTTCTTTTTCCTTTATTTTATAAATTTGTAATCTTTCGAATTTTCAAAAAATTCAGAATATATGAAAATGCTAATTTTCTTCATTTGATTTTTTGATAATATTAAAGGAATAAAAACTTAAAAAAAATCTAAAATAACGTTTCAAAATAAATAAATATCATACTTTAAATAAAAACAAGGGAAACAAAAAAACACAAAGCTAAAACTCGCTACAGTATGTTGCTACATGGGCTGGCCCACGAAAGCACATGCCTGTGTGTCAGCACTCATATTTTACGCAGAGAGCATCAAATAGCAAATGCATGGTACATACAATTTCTCAAGGGCAGTAAATACACATAATCAATCGTTAGTGCGGGCCGTGCTTATGTATTGTTTTCAGGGAGCGGGGAGGCAAGTGTCGCTTTTGTGCGTGCTTCCCGCTCCAGCCCGCGGCCGCGTATTTTGGATCTCACCGAGTGATAAGTGAGAGCCCAAGCACCAACCAACGAGCGACCACATTCTTTTTTCATTTTCATCACTTTGTTCTTAATTTTGATAAGTTTTTAAATTAAATTTTAAATATTAACAAAGCTGGAAAATTCATAATTTTCCCAAAAAATCTGTTGCACTCAAAAAACTTTCATGAATTTTAAACAAATATATGAAATTAGAAAATATGTTCTTGAATTCAGAAAATACTCATGAATTTGAAAACTTGTTTATGAAGTTAAAAAATGTTCATGAAGTTAAAACATGTTCGAATTTGAAAAATGCTAATGATTTCAAAAAATGTTCATGAATTCTGAATTTTTTCATCAATTCTAAATGTTTTCACTGGATCAAAAAATGTTTAGAAAAATTTATAATATTCAGGCGTTTTAGAAAGTTGCTCACAAATTGAAGAAATGTTCAAGAATTATGTGTTTTGCTAATTTTATAAATATTCACGAATTTTAAAAACTGTTCAGTTTTTTAAAATATTAGTCGGTTGAAGACATATTGAAATATGAAAAATATTAAAGAATTTTTAAAAATGTTCACATTTTTAATGGTTTTGAGTTCAAAATGTACTCACGAATTTGAAAAATAGTCCATGAATTTAAAAAATGCTTGGAAATTTAAAAAGAAATAGTAACGCAAAAGAAAAATTGAAAAATTAATAATTAAAGTTATATCTGAAAATGATAAAGTAACAGAAAACTTGTTGAAACATTCCTAAAACCAGACGGAAGGCTCAGAAGGTTTCTAAAACCAACTTTGGTCTCTCGCTTCCACCTGGTTTTTTGAGGGGGCGATTGCACTTGCTTTTTTGAGGGGGCGCTTCCACATGCTAAATGGACGACCTAGTAATAGCGTGTAGTGGTGAATCCACTTGATATTGCACAATGAACGACCTATAGCTTGAGGAGAGCTCCTAATGGCGTCTTTGGCGTCAATTAGGATAAGTGGCGCTCACACACAGAGCATATGGTCCGGCCCCAATTAAGTTCTTAAAAAATGCTTTATTGGTGGACCTGGAACCGTTGACTCAGCCACAAGAGACCATCGACCGTTGACAATTGACCTTTTCAAGAAAAGGAAAAAAATGCACAAAGTGAAAAAGTTAATTTTTTTTGTTTTTCCAACAATTTTGAAAAAAGTTCATGATTCATTTCAAAACATATCATAAGATTTGGAACCAAATTTTGCAAATTTGAGAAAATTTCATGAATTTTAAAAAAGTTCAAGACTTGGAAAGTTCTTAATTCGGAGAAACTTCACTAAAATGGAAAAAATTCGCAAAATTTGAAATAAAGTCGTATTACGAAGAAGTTCACAAAATTTGGGAAAATATAATCACGGATTTTAAAATGAAAGTTCACAAAAGTTGATTATTTTCAAATTGGGGAAAAAACTCGCGAAATCATGAAAATCTTAGGAATTTGGTAAAAGGGGAAAATGCAAAGAAAAAAAGGAAATATGAAAACCAAATGAGAAGCCGGTGAAAAAAACCTACATGGGCCGGCCCATTTATATATCTGTGCTGTGGAAGGGGGCCTGGCCGTAATATGGGCCTATTTGGCATCTGGACGTGTGGGCTCTTTACCAAGCCATCCCTCGGCCTCTCTCTAGAAAAAGAAAAAGCTATCCCTCAGACCCGTCACTTGAAGATGAGGCCCAGCCGCCCAGGGAATCGTCACACGGCAGATGCGCATCAGCGCAGCACGCACCATCGTCCGCCGCGGCATATGCCGCCCGCTGTTTTTTACGCCCAAAGAAAGAAAAGAAAACGCCGCTCATTGTCTAGTTTGTTGCTGCTACGGCCACCCGTCATGCTCCCCAAGCAAAAGCATATCCGTATTTATTCTTAAAAATACTAGCAATAATAGAGAAGCATCTCCTGGAGACTTTGTTTATTTTGGATTGGGAAACAAGTCATACTTTGGCGCCTCCCCTTACAAAATATGTGACGCGGCATCGCGAGGACCAATTATTGATTGGAAAACAAGTCATACTTTGGTGTTGTCCATTACATGGCCAATTAAAAACTCCTACTGTACTTTGCATGATTTTTACATGAGATGGCTGTTGGAGTGTTGAGTAGAGAGTGAAAGCGGAGAGATGAAGGGACACATTATATCGTGTTTCTAATAAAAAACGTAAACACGCGAGGTCTAAAAAGCCGCAACATGCTTGAGAAACTATCGAATTATAATGGGGTCATCAGGAGCGAATACAACAACCTAGGATTAACGTATGAACTGATTGTATGAGATTTCAACTAAAGTTCATCCTTCGAATTAGCCCATACATGAATTTTGCTTCATCCGTTGCTTTCCCTGGAGCGTGTTTCGGTACACGAAGAAAAAACATTTGATCAACAATTTACCCCATCACGTAAAATTTACTTGACATAAAGTTGATATCCCGAGATTCATTTTCAAAAGCATTTACTTAGTATGATTACACTTTTGTAAATCACACATATCAATATAGTACCCGTTGCTTAAAAAATAACCAACTTTGGAGATGCCAAAGCAAGGAACAGATCAACAAAGAATTAATAAGTACTACCATTGCTCTCTTGGTGTTGGCGTACGCACAACTGTCACCACATCTCTTTTTCCCCAATATAATAGTTGGACAAAAAACATGTTGTAACATAACTCTTTAAAAAACACAGAAGGTTACATAAAAAGCTAGGAGCCCGGAAGGGTAGATCAAATATATAATTGCAATTGGATTCTTGAAGGCTGGCAACCACATCATAAAATTAATACAATGATTAGCCTTCTTTAACTCCCACTGAAATTCCTCGTTTGATATACCTGCTAAAGAACCAAAAAAGAGAGAAACGACCATTGGGAGTCTTAGAAAAGATACGCCCTTTGTTGCTCTTTCTAGAGCGTAATTTGTTTCGCTGAGACATAATTTTAATCAACAACCACTCATGCAATTTGGTGACATAAGATTGGTGTCATTCGGATTATTTTTCAAAATCATGTACCTATATGATTACAATTGTGTGGTCATAAAATGGTCAATGACTCCTTATCAAATCAATATACTTCATAGTCTAAAAATAAAAAAAACAATATATTCCTTAAAAAATATAGAGGGCTTTGGAAAAGCCAAAGCAAATAACAGATCAGCAAAGTATATTATATTTCCCTCTTAGTCCCTCAGAAAGAAGTATTGCTCTCTTGGTACACCTAGCTGTAATAAAACCAAAAAAGAAAGCTGTCCAACACATTTCTTGTTCCCCAATAATAGCTGTGTGCGCGAGAGAAACCCAGAAAAATCCGGTGGTGGCAGCGGGGCCCACCTGTCATGGTCGCCCGAGGCCGGCCGGCCTCATGTGGCCCTCCCTTTATATCCTCGCCCCTGCCCCCGCCGTGTCTTTCTTCCTCCACAAGAAGAAAAGAAACGCCACCAAATCCAATCTCGACCTCCCCCTCTCCCGTCCGCCCGTCGTTCCCAACCCGATCCGATCTCCCCCCTCCTCCGTCGCCATGGGCCGCAAGTTCTTCGTCGGCGGCAACTGGAAATGCGTACGTGGTCTCGCCCCCCTGATCCCTCTTTATTTCTCGTCGTGGCTCCGTGTTGAATGGGGGGATGGATCGGCGTGGACGAATCGGGTGTCTGGGTCTTATTATGCGCTGTTTGGTGGATCTGGAGGGTTATTCGAGCGTAAAATCGGCAAGATTGTCCTTAGATTTGAGCGGTAGCTTCGCCGCTCTCGCTTCAGATCGGTGCGGAGATTAGCTGTTTTAGTGTGTGTGCCGGCGTTTTTTTTTCTTAATTGGGAAGGATGGATGCGATGGGATCTTCTTGTGAAGATCTGGGCGATAATTCCAATGATCTCGTCTTAATTGATCGTTGGATGCATCATCAGTTACCTGTGCTTATTTTTGGGGGTGATTAGAGCTATTATTACTGTGTATGTATGCATCTAGCTTGCAGTTAGATGGCACGGCATGTTATTTCCTGGGTCTGTAGGAGAAGTTCATCTAGGTTGAAAGACAGTTTGATCTCGCTAGCTGTTACCTGTTTGCAGCTAGTCTGGAACAGTTTAGTGTGAGTTATCTCTGATGAGTTGATTGCTTGATGCTGACATGGCTCTTCTTGATGTGTGCAGAATGGAACTGTGGAACAGGTAGAGAGTATCGTCAACACTCTGAACGCTGGACAGATCGCCTCTACGGATGTTGTCGGTATGGATGCCTGCCCTGTGCCTGGCCTTACATGTTTTGGTCACCCTGTGTCAAATTTTGGCGACGCTTAAAGCTGCATTGCAGGATGTACTTATGGTTTTATTGGCTGATGAACTGCAGAGGTTGTCGTCAGCCCGCCCTATGTCTTCCTTCCCACCGTCAAGGGTAAGCTGCGCCCAGAGATCCAAGTCGCTGCTCAGAACTGCTGGGTGAAGAAGGGCGGTGCTTTCACCGGTGAAGTCAGGTTAGCATTCTGTTCTCTGCCAGTATGTTTTAATGCCATGGATTAACTGCTAACCTGCAAGGCAAACATATGCTGTCTTTCACTGCTACAAATTGTCATGTTTGCTTTAACACGGTCTAGAAATAGGGCTCTCGCTTCTAAACCAATGTTCATTTGTTTTGTTCACACATTCAGTATTGGTGTTAGATTTGTTTAGTGATTAATATCTAATTCAGATGAATAATTCTTATATTTGCATCCGTTTTTGTTTTGTTTACTCCATATTCAACTTATGTGTTGGTTCAAAACCTGTTGCTAATGCAGTGCTGAGATGCTTGTCAACCTCGGCGTTCCCTGGGTCATCCTTGGACACTCTGAAAGGAGGAGCTTGATGGGAGAATCAAGCGAGGTATGCTGCAGTTTACATCTATTCACAACATACCATTCATAAATCAGGTGCCTTTCCATTTAAATACAGTGAACAACCAAACTATGAAATACTGCTATTGGAAGACAAACGTAAAATATGACAGTATCACCAAACTGTAGAAAAATCACTCTTATTCTGATGGGGATTTCCTGCAATATATTTGGTGGATAATTCATTGCAGTTGATTTTGTTTTCTGAAAATAATTGCAATGACATGACTGATTTAAGGAGTTTTCAGCGCTAAATCCTCTCCTCTTTCTTGAATGGCAGTTTGTTGGAGAGAAGGTTGCATATGCACTTGCTCAGGGCTTGAAGGTCATTGCATGTGTTGGTGAGACTCTCGAGCAGCGAGAAGCTGGATCAACCATGGCAGTTGTCGCTGAACAGACAAAAGCAATTGCTGGTACGGACCTTTAGTTTGTGAACATGAACATACACAAATTTACCTTTGAATTGTTGTATCATTGTGTTTATATTCTCTTGAATTCTTTTACCATTGATCTTGATGGTTTGTGATGAATCGTCTCAGCTTTGGGTGTTTAATTTCCTGGCATGAAGTTTATGCTTGCAAAAGCTAGCTAAATTTGTTTCTTCATTGATGATAATTTTACTTCACAGCAGTTAAATCTTGATAATACTTTTAAGACTACAGGGGAGAAACAAACTCAGTAACTACCATTATGATCAATTCAGCATTGCTATTTGCTTTGAACATGCATAGCACAAATTGCTCATATCTGCTGTTCATGATTGGATGAATCCACATGTTATGCTTTGCCATACCTGTTTTCAGTGACCAACGCAGACTTTGTATAGAATATTAAAATATCATCTGAAAGTGTCGGCTGAGATGATTTTTTCTTTTACAGGCAAGATCAAGGACTGGACCAATGTGGTTGTCGCTTACGAACCAGTGTGGGCCATTGGCACCGGTAAAGTTGCGACACCGGCTCAGGCGCAGGAAGTAAGTGTTAATGCATTTGAAGATTGATGTGTGCTCCTTTGATTCCAAACATATTTTCCATTGGCTAATACTCAGACTTGTACTATGTTGGCAGGTCCATGCCAATCTGAGGGACTGGCTCAAGACCAATGTGAGCCCCGAGGTTGCTGAATCCACGAGGATCATCTATGGAGGTAATGTATACCCATTGTTTGAGCACAAATGCCTCCTTGTGTACACATTTACTGCCAAGTCATCTTGATATCTGATTATGTGCGCCTTGTTACTTTAGGATCTGTAACTGGCGCAAGCTGCAAGGAGTTGGCAGGGCAGCCCGACGTTGATGGTTTCCTCGTTGGTGGAGCTTCTTTGAAGGTAAACAGAGAACACAAACAGAGTAGAGTATTCATCATCATCATGCCTTATTTACCTGCACCCATATGACTAAATACTGTTCTCTCGCTCGTGCAGCCTGAGTTCATTGACATCATCAACGCCGCCACCGTGAAGTCCGCCTAAGAAAAATCTTGATGTGGCTCCTCTCGGTGCGGAGGAAGACAGCGAAGATGAAGAGACTCCTTTTTTCTCCTGTGTTTATTATGTGTGTACTATGCTAGTAATTTTGTGGTGGAGCAGCTGCTACTGTTTTCCTCCCCCCCTGACTTGAGCTTGCAAGCCAATAATGATAATGTTTGCTACTGAACATATATCAGCAATAATCTTTAGCTCCTATTAATGATAATAATGTGTATCGGCTGATCGGTTGTGTCTTTCGCCGGTCACTCCGTTGTGTGCCGCATGTCCCGTAGGGGCCGCATGCAACTGCTCGTCCACCGCCTAAGGGCCTTGAATCAAGGGATTTGTTCCGAAGGTATTCTGACTCTTAGGATTTTTTTCTTCTATGTTGGCTGTTTGATTCATAGTATTACAATCCATAGGAATTTTTCCTTTGGAATGGATTGAAGATGGTATGCCACTCTATATCTATCAAAGAGGCCCTTATTGTTTTCCCATTGCTGCGGTCATTTGTTTTAGCACCGCTGTTCTTCCACCTCACGGCCATGTTGCAATTGCTTGGTCGCTGCGCTAGAACCGCCTCACGGCCATGTTGCAACCGTTCTGTTGTGACATGCCGGTTGACGGTGGGAGGCTGAACGTTGACGAGTAGCCGTATTGGAAGCTTGCAACGGTGGAGAGTAACAGCGGACTACAAGCGGCGGTGCAAGGAGGTTTGCGTCCATCGTGTGCTGGAACTGGTGATGCCATGTGCTGCAAGCAGCGACGCTAGGCGCGACAATAGGTTGGATGCTGGGACGTATGTTGCAACCGAATCCAACACCAGGCGGCACTATGATTCAGAGTGGCGGAATCACTAAGCTGTGGCACTATGATTCGGAGGAAAACCTTAGATCTGTTGGATTGGGCGATGAAGGCGCCTCACCTCTTCTTCCTCCTTGGGGCATCGTCTCGGAGCCGGCCGCAACCTGGAGACCAGTGAATGGCGGCATCTTCGCTGCGTGGTTTGTCGAGGCAGACGTTTTGGGGGCGTTGATTTCTATTTGACAATGATGATGATGTCAAGAGGAGCTTGGGTTGCGGCTCGGGCTTCGGTAGTCAGATCTTTCCGGCGTGTCTGAGGTGCTCTTTCGTTGGTTGCTGAGTTGCTTTAAAGTCGGAGCTGACACTCGGTGGTCGTTTGTGGAGTGCGCGTTTAGCGCAAGTCCTGCATATTCCCCTTGCGAAGCTCGTCAAGTCGGAGTTGGAGCTGTCGGTTGTTCGCGCATGTTGCCAACTGTTAGCGTGTGGCCAGGTATCCATGTTGTGTGAGTTGAGTTGTATTGGTTTTAGACCGGCTTTTTTAATTAACCGGGCAATTCTCACTACCTTCTTAATTAATGAAAATGACAAGTTTTTTGCCTTGTTTGAAAAAAAAAATCAAGTCGCGAGAGTCGTTCACCGAGCACGATCCAACGGTCCAGGAGGGGACTGGCTTTTGGGCCCTTTTAGCACTGCGGATGATGAGATATTTTTTCAACGTCTGTCACATGAACGCAGAGTTGGCAACCAATCCTTGCACGGATCGATGCATTTCTCTCCGTGAAAGCGGTCGCGGGTACAAATTATTCTCTGTCACGGCAACACGGACGCTGAGCTGACAAAAGCACACAGTGATTTGTTTCTCTGGACGCAACAAGAGAATTTCTTTGGTGCCTTGCGCCTGAAAACAAAAACGGTAGCAACGACGTGGAATCTCTTGCGACGCCTGCGCCGAGAAACACCAAAATATTTGCACGGACGGACGCCCGGATCTGTACGACGTGGGCGCGAAATTTCCTCCGGCACGGCAATGCGGACGTCGAGCCGCACAGTGCTCCGTTTGGAGCGCCAGGTCGAAAATGGCGTCCTTCCTTTCCGTAGGGAAACGGTAAGGTTTTCGCCTGGGCAAAGAAGAAGAGGGGGTCACGGGCTCACGGGCGTAAATTCGCGGCCGTGCGTACGCGCAACCGCCCGGGAATTGAAGCCGCTCATATGCGTTCCATGCGCGCGCCGACGCCGAGCGAGTTGCCTTGCCGCCCGTTTCCGTGAAGCCCCCGCCCGTCCTCGCACCGCATGTGAATGTGATCGCCTCCGTCCTCCTCCAGTCCTCTACCTCTATCTCTATCGCTGGTGCTCCCCCCCCGAGAGGCAACCCGTGGCTTGCTTGACAGGGCGATTGAATGGGGTCGCCGACGCCGCCGCCGCCACCGACGCCATCATCACGGGCCAGGGCCAGCTGTTACTCGCTGCGCCTCCACCGAGGCGGGCGGTGGCGGGTTTAAGAAGGAGGCCGCCGCGGGGCGAGATGAAGCTCATGTACTTCCTGATGGACGGCGAGGGGGAGGAGCAGCGGTGCCGGGCCGAGGAGCTCCGGCTGGAGGTGTCGGAGCTGGAGGCCGTGCTGGCCAAGGAGGAGCGCCTCAGCCGGGTCCTCCGCTGCTCGCTCCAGGCCGGCCGCCTGGACGCCGCCGCCGCCTGCCGGTGCTGCCTCTCCGCCCACCTCGTCCCAGCCAAGGTAATCGATTGTGCTTGGTATACTTCTGAATTTACCTCATTCTCACTTCATTCCTCCCATGTACTCCTAATTGATTGCACAAGCATGCATGTTTCTCAAGTTCATTTTCTCAGTTCACTACTAGATTACTGGCTTTTGGCAAATTTCTTGGAAGCTGCCACTGTTTTCTGTCACCGAGTGTAGGGCTGGACCAAAAGCTCGTAACTCGCGAGCTTAATGAGCGCTCGATAGTTCGGCTCGTTAAGCTCGTAGCTCGCTTCTTAATGAACAGAGTCAATCATTGATTTCAGCTCGTTAAGCTTAACGAGCTTAACGAGCGAGCTAACGAGTTTCACGAGTAGCTCGTTAAGCTCATTAGTAACAACACAACACATATTTTCATTTTACGTGACAAACTCTTATAGCATCTCAGCCCATCTATTCAATCTAATCGACCTATGAGACAACAAACTACTGCATTTTTTTTTATAGTTATCATATTTCGTCTTGAAAACCACATCTACACATTCATCCTGTATATCGTAAAACATTATAATCTGTTAACGAGCGCTCACGAGCGCTCACGAGCTTAACGAGCTTCAAACGAGCCGAGACGAGCAGGGTTTTCTGCTCGTTAATCTTAACGAGCTTAACGAGCCGAGCCTTAACGAGCACGAGCTTAACGAGCCGAGCTACTCGTTAGTCCACCCCTAACCGAGTGTAAAAGTGTTCCGAACATTCAGTCCCAACTCCGAACTGTAGAAACTTGAAGGCCATACAACCATTCAGGGGTAGTGATAGATTAACGGTGCAAGTGCAGATGCAACATCGCTCGCCGTCCATCACAGGACTGGACAGTCGGTCATGATCATGCCTGCTACCACCTCGTTGTCTGCTTGCCTGCGGTATTAGCTAGATTACGAAAAATACTTCCATGGACGGACGGATAAATGCTGTGCGGCATGATGCATACGGACATGATCTAGCTCGACAGGAGTCACAGGAGGACACTCAAAGGACTATTCCCAAATTGCACGCCACAATGCCGGATTTGTCCGCACATAGCCACCCCCCATTATCCCCCACACCTCATGTCCTAGGATTCCCGCCTGCCTGCCTGCCTTCTCGTACCTGACAAATCGCTTGATTGCACCTGTACGGCTTGCTTCACTAAGTGGTAACTTAGCTAAGCAGTCCATACACCATTTCTTCAGTAATTTTGTTAGGCGGCATGCTGATCTGTGCTCATACCAACCATAGGTAGTTCTGAAGTTCTGATCACTGCAAGTGTTGGTAATTATGTCGATTCTCGTTGCAGATCAGGGGGCTCCTCGCGGAGCTGGCGATCGTGGAGGACGAGATATTCTACCTCGAGAAGAAGGTCGACGACCTGCGGACGCGCCTCCTCCGGGAGCGCAACTGGACACATCACTGCATTCTTCAGCAGCAGCAGCAGCAGCGGCAGCGACAGCAGGATTGGCCGCCGGGCCGGCACTCCGTTGGCCGGAGGGAGCTCCATGGCGGCGAGCAGCTCCCAAGGCTGCCTGGTCCAGGCGGCGGCGGCGATGGAGGAGGTCTCGAGCGTGAGAGCAAGGCCTCTGCTGGGTCTGTCTCTTCACAAGGTACAGATGAAATGAAATGTTCAGCAGACGCACTTTCAGAATTTATAGGTTGCTTAAACAGTTCTTGCAGAACAACAAGTTGATTCTGATTTTGAAATCTTTGGAGGACAGGCGAGGAGACTGATCAGAGCAGAAGAAGCAGCCACTCTTTCGAAAATCTCAGGCCTCCAGAAAGGAAAATCTGCTCGAGCAGTCCAAACAAGCTTTCGGAGGAGCTCATCAAGCTTACGGTGACCATCTTCCACAAGCTGAGCAGGACAACGAATCATGCAGACTCAGAGCTGGAGCTCAGCAGCGCGCCGAAGCTCAACATCACCTCCTGCATAGGCTCCTCCCGAAGCCTCGCCCCCAAGCTGTCGTCGTCGTCGTCGAGCGACCGTGCGGCGCCGTCGCCCATCCGCTCCGTCAAGAGCCGTGCAGCAGCGGCCCCGGAGTGCGGCGGCGACGAAGGGGATGCGGCCGGCCCGTGCAATGGGTTTGTCGAGTTCACCCGGAGCTCGTTCGACTCCAGCCGCGTGCCGGTGTGCCTCGCTGACATCAAGAACTTGAGGTCAGAGTGTGAGAGAGACCCTGATCATTGCCGTTGCCAGAGGACGGACAAATTTTAATTTGTTGCAAATGTACTATTTGAAAAATATATTTTTTGTTTCTTCAGAGTGCTGATGAACAAGCTGTGCACCGTGGATCCGAGCTCCCTGACCAACAAGCAGAAGCTGGCCTTCTGGCTCAACATCTACAACTTCTGCGTGATGCATGTACGGTTTTAAGCTGAGCTGATTGCTGATCAACACATGAACACCATTAATCAGTTAATTGGTGAATACAGCTTTGCATCATACATAGCCTGATATATATGATCCACGAAG